CCTTCTAGTAAGATAAACCACCGGAGATGAGATTTCCTCGTCCCGTCCCTGGGAATTCAGGCGATTCAGTACCAGCAGGCTGAGGCCAGATGCTGGGCTGAGCACAACCGTGGCTGCCCAGTGCTGGGTTTGACCCATTATTGTCAATCTTCCCCATGCTTACTGGAGAACATTCCGCTTTGCTCTCCTAGGGGGGGACAGTCGTACCTCCTGAAGCATCAGCGGGTCTGGGTGACCACGTCCAGCCGGGTGTGGGGACAGTCGTTGGCATCACCGCCACGGCTGCCACTTCGGGAATCCACCAGCAGCTCCCCTCGGCTCTTCGCTTTGCTCTGGGGCAGCGCCAGCAGCAGCCGAACGAAGGGTTCAGGAACACCCACCTGAGCCAACAGCCCGTCTCGCTGCTGGAAGCGGAGGCACAGATGTGGCACCGTCAGGACGGCATCGCCCTCCGGAGCTACGTCAGGCGGATTCACGGCCGAGGCCTTGCTAGGGAACAGCCACACAGAGCGGAGTCTCCTCGCACGCTCCCGCACTGTTTATCGCGGCTGTGCAAAAGGAAGGATATGCACAGAAGCCGGAGGTGCCTCCTCACCCACGGGCACGGGCTCGCGCCAGATCTTCCCCCGGGGCTCGGAGGTGAGAAGCAGCAAGGCTGGAGCGACCGCAGAGCGAGCAGGGTGCGTGCCTGAAAGCTCCGCAGGCAGCCCGTGGAAGAGAGAACAAGGGAAGTTATCCGAACTCACCTGAGCAGCAGGAGAAAAGCACACGAGTGCGAGCCCCTCGAGGAGAGCTGTAAGGAGGAACAAGAGGGAAAATTACATTTGCAAGTGAAGTGTGGCAGGAGAGACTCCGCTTGTCCCTTCCCTGCGGACCCTGAGTCCTTGGAGAGCAGCGACAAAGCACAGCCAGGACCCAGCGCCGACGACCGCTGTTCTGGTTCGGGCCACCGCGTGCAGAACGCACGCAGCGTCACCCTGGTCTGACCCGGCCCCACCGCCAAGCAGCAAACAGAAGGAAGACAACACAGAATACTTATCACAACACAGATTTAATTTCTTAGGCAGTTATAAAATTACAAAGAGCGAGGGGCTAGCGGCGAGAGCCAGGCGCTCGGTGAGCTGGAATGTTAGGTTTCCCACTTATCGACACGGATACCGAGCAGAGCGAGCACCGCGGGATGCAGGGGGTCATCCACCGCAAAGAGACCCGAGCGGACAAAGGGTCGAGTTGACACCCTATGGACACCCAGAGCTACGGGTTCGGGAACAAGCCACGGCCGGGCAGCGAGCCGGAGACACGGCAGCGCAGGGGGGGGGGAGGCAACGCAGGGGCAAAGCCACAGCGCCGACAGCATAACGGGCACAAGGGCAAACCTGCAAGCCGGGGTAAAGGCTTCTTGCCTGTTACTTTCCAGGCTGGGCGAGATGAGATTGGCCAACCTGAAGGGCATTACAACAAAGGCATGTTATGGTTAGGGAAACAGGAATTCGTCAAATTCCATCTGGAATCTGAGGGGATGTAGTTGCAGTCAGGGCCATGCTTCCTTCACGGCAGCACAGACTCTGGGAAAGCAAAGGCCTGCTCTGCACGTGCCGAGGAGATGCCCTGCCTTGCTCTCGGATGTTGACGGGTTAAACCAAGGCGACCGTTAGCCAGGACAACCGGAGCGCAGAGTGAAACTTCCCTGACCTTGGCAGTCACGGATCCTCACCAACGCTCCGGACAAAGCCTCCCGTCGCTCGGCAAACGGCCGCAGAGCGTCTGGGCGCACAAGCGACACAGCGAGCAGCTCAGCAAGCTACAGGGGAAGGAGTTCCGCCGCCTTGGTGCGTGTTGCTTCGGTGCCAACGCCATTATTTGGGCCAGGAAAGCACAGCATGGGATGTAAGAGGGTTCTGCCCATCGGCTTCTCGGGACTCTACAGCACCTGCTCAGCGAGCTGGTGGCTTTTCCGTTCGCTCCTCCCTGTTTACTATCAGACATAGGTCAGACACACGTTTCCTCGGTGGAGACACTTGTCACTGCTCTAAGAGGCTTCTCGAGTGCCTGTCTGCGTTCAGGCAGACTCGGAAAGACACCTCCTCTACCTGCACCCCCTGGGGAGACAGGCCCAAGGAGCGCAGGACCTGAAGCAGCAAGGTATGCGCACACACCTGATCCCAAGGGGAGCGCTTGCACCAACGACTGCCTGAACAACCCCCAGGAGAAACACCTTCACTGACCTCTGCTTCTTGCTCCCTTCTCCTCTGCCAGGCCCAGCCTTTCAACTGCTAGTTGGTATCTATCACTCGTATTTTGGAAACGGTGACATCAGCAGAGTCCGGAGCAGATAACAGATTTCCGCCTCCGAACGAGGACAAACAGATGTGGAGAGCGCAGAGGAGCACGCACGCTCGCTGCCTGCGTGTGCACCGAGAGAAACGGCTCCTTCCCACGATGCTCAATGGGAACAGATCCCACTGCAATCCGAGTTCAGGATTCCAAAGGTGTAGGCTGGAATCCCCTCTCCCCAGCTTTGGTTGAGTTGCCCTGTCCCCAACCCTCTGCTCAGTTAACGCTCCGCAGAGGCGCGGCCTGCACCCGGAGATACACCGTCACGGGCGCTCTCCTGCCAGGGAAGGTCAGTCTACAACGAGAGGGGCTGTAGTGGTCTTCCCGCACCACGTGACTACGGGTGACCCAGGGCTGGAGCCTCCCTGCCTTACCCTGGGGATCCAGAGCTGTTAGACTACCAAAACAGAAAGGTTTAGACCCTGCCACGGAGCGTAACAGCGCAAGCACGGGCTCCCCGCCGGGTGAGGGTGCAGCCGCACGCCGCGTTTCTGGTATGCCTAAGAAAAAAAAAAAGAAAGTACATCTTTGTGCCATTGGGATGAAACCCCAACCGGAAAGGTTCCTAACTTTGGTAGCACACCACAACAGGGTGGTTACTGAGGGCCTAAGGCCATCAGAGGAAATGGTATTAGTCATGTTTTATCTCAGAAAACGTTCATATTCTCGTGCAATGAACTTAAACTGTCACCACTCAAATACACCACATCAGCGGGGACCACAAACCACCTGCTCCACCCTACGAGCTCCCTGCTGGTCACTAACCCCACAGCATCAGTTCTTCTGCTCTCTGAAAGATTTTCCCAGTTACTACAACAAGAAGCAGCTACGTCAACCAGCTCCCAGCTTCTACTTAAGAGTGACCCGAGCAGGAGACGGCAACCCAGCTGCCAGCGCGTGGCTCAGGAGCAGGCCACAGCACACGGATACAGTGATCTCCAACTCACCAGTGAAGAGTTAAGACAGGGGGAAAATTTACAATACAGGTTGGCAATTTTTAGCAGTAGGAGTTAGTAATTACAGTGAGGGGTGTCTCTTACTGTGGACATGGCCTTCGTTACACTCCAGAGTTGCAGAACTCGCGCGTTTAGCAGCCCCAGTGTTGCTTACGCGTGTTTACTGCAAGCCCTTCTCGTGGAGGCTATGCCAAGCCTCCAAGTATGTTACCGGGAACGTTAACAGCTTAGTCTGGAACGAGTAGACATCTGACAGCTCCTGGGCGGCTCAGTTTGCCAGCAGAGCTCACTGAGCTTGTATTTACAGCAAGACTTGCACGTTACTCTGCACTTACGAGCTCCACGGCCAAGCTGAGAGCACTTGCTGTAAAAACATAATTCCAGACCGTGGAATTTAGTTGTCAGCCAGAGCTTAAGCTCAAGAGACAAAGTGAGATTTGAGCATGGCTCAGGGTTTTGCTTTGAATGTGCAGGGTTCTGGAGGGGACACCACAAACCACTCCAGCCAACCACTTTGGCCAGTCCAGGGTTTTCAGTGAGTAAACAAACCTGATCCCTTCTCCTCCACATGTGCTCATGGAAGATGATCTTCCACGTACGTGGACTAACAGCGGCCTCGCTGATACAGGCGGCTCACTTGGCAGGGGCTACCACCACCTTCGGCACTTTTAGGGGAAGGGGAAGCCCACCTGCCCACACGGGGCTTTGGGGATGAAGGCTGCTGCCTGCTACTGCTTGAGAGAAGACTTAAGAGACCAAACCCTAAAAGCACATCACTGTCTAGTCGTGGTAGGGACCTCACACGTAGCTCAACATCTGCAATTTCCTTGCCTGTTTTTATTTATATTCCTTTGCAAGCAGTTGGTAAGGGGGTAAGGAAACAACCCACGTTGCCACACCAAAGGCAAAGAGGGTTTTTGTTTTGGCAAAGGCGAGTAACACTCACCAAGTGCTTTGCTAATCACCTGCTCACTAACTGTTATCCAAGACTTAAGAGAAGGCACAATACAACCCTAAAAATAGTCTGCAGCACTGCTCAGCCTTGGAAAGCCCTAGCCAGGGTCAGGGCAGTTAGGGATTTCTTCCAAAACTGTCAAAGAGACAACCAGTCCTTGGAGTGTAGCACAAGAGGTAACATGATGAAAGGGGAAATAAAAAAATAAAAGCACACTGTTAACCAGCAGAAGAGAACCCAGAGGAAAATAAATCTTTCAAAATCATTTATATTGACGTCAGTATCTGGAAAAAAAAAATCATCACGAACCTTAGAGCGGTACACACAGCCCCAGACTGAGGAGAAGCAAGAATCGAGAGCTAAGCCTTCCAGCTGAAAACCTCATGGCTGTTTAAAGCGCGGGCCTGCCTCACGCTACAGGGACTTCCATCCGGCCTGGCAGAAGCCTTGCCTCACACAATTTAAAAAGAAGTACAAAAAGAGGTTATTGCTACTCTGCCAAGGAAATAAGACAATCTACAGGAGAGAAAGAAAGCGCATTCCAAGCCTTCTCTGAAAACCCAAGAGCTTATCAGCCACCAAGGGCTACAGACACCCCGGTACTAAAGGTGTACGAACAGCCTCTGGCAATTGCTCCTTCATTCTAGCTTCCTTCCTGCAGCAATTCCTTTTCTTCCTGTAAAGGCACTTTCTATATCCTTACAGAGGGAAACACCTCCAGTTTTCCATCCCAACAAACAGAACAGTCCCACAAATACACAACATTCAGAAGGAATTTTAATTAACAAAATGGTCCAGGAAAGGGGAGGGAGAACCCCTCAAAAAAAAAAAACCAGGCCGTTGCATTTGAAAGGTTGCGTGTCAGTCACTAGGTATGCCTGCAAGCCCATGCACAGGAAACCATTTGGACCTTTGTCAGTGCAGAACTAGTCTCAGCTTCCAGAACCACTTCTCGACTCCTTCCTTATATAAGCTAAATATTATATACATATATAAAAAAAATACAAACTTGGGTTTGTTATAAAGTGGCTTCTCTCTCTCCCCCTCCTATGCTTGCTTGGCACATGAACGCATGCAAAGCTAGTAGGCTCCGAGGGCTGCACAAACAGCAGGTTTTGGCAACAACAAAACAAAAAAAACCCCACAGCTAAAATAGATAAGCAAGATTAAAAGCCACTGAATTGAAAACCATGTATTTTTCCAATTGTATAGAATTAGAACTACAGCTACGACTTAAAACTGTAAGAGTCTGTCATCCTCTCTCCCAACTCATGTCAAAGTTCATAGCAGCATAACACGAGATTCCTCAAGCGACATCAAGCCAGTGTTCTCTGCTTCAGGAGTGAGTTCACAGGTCAAAGTTCAGTCTGTCCGAAGGATCATGGGAGGATGCTCACTGTCTTCATCCAATTTAAGTGAGTTGGTTTCATCTTCCAGGCAAACTCCACCCACGGCACCCAGGTCGTCCGTATAGGCTGGAGAGAAAGGAACAAGTAGTTGGGGGATGAGCAGCACAGACTACGGCCTGGATCCAAAGTGAACCCTTAGAGCTGAAGTACCAGACACGACTTCCAACAGTTTCACTGCCACCCTACGTTGGCTTTTATCATGACCACATTTCCCCAGGCCAAGATCAGCTTGTGATCAAAACTGAACTACTCTGTGTGTGCAACGTGCTTTGGGCAGGCTGGTGTTTTTTCTTCATCTCCACCCAAGCACTACAGCTGCAACCGCAGTACTGACGCTACACAAGCGGCCTGTCCTTCCTCTGCAGCCAAAGCGCTGACCCGAGTGCCACACAGAGACGGCACGAGCTCCACCCCGAGAGCTGCAGCACTAACCAACTCCTCGTCCTCTCAGTTTAAGAGAGCAGCAAATCAGGCTCAAAGGTCACTGTTCTCACAAAGGAACAACAGGAGCACTTATCACCCTGGTTAAAAGGGGGCTCTAATTCAGATGTTCTGCATGAGGGCTGGATGCAGAACTCCTGCATGAAAGGGCTGTGTTAGGGCACCTCAGGAACTGTTTGGCAAGTACTCCAACTACTGTTACAGCGATCAAACCACCACTCAAAGTTCTGCTCGGAAAGCAGCGCAGCCGAGCGATCCATCCACGGGAGGCTACTGTGCGTCACAAGCACTCCTCTCCTCCTGCTCCCCATCACACCCGCAGTAGGAAAAGCTCAGTGGTGAAGCAGACGAGCTCACGCAGCCACGAATACGCAGAGGTGCTCTCTGCCCCCTTTCCAGTCTCCTCCTTACCATGCCTTGTGGGTGAGGAAGGCACGTATGTACCTTTAGTCACGGCAGCGCTGTAGGTCTGTGCCACCAACGGCCGGTCGTGGGACGCAGACTCCAGAATTTCGTTGGCGGGCTCCATACTGCCATCGAGCCTACCAAGCAGAGAGAGGTTAGCTGGAGGGGTGACCTACCTGGGCACAACACAGCTCTAGGTGACAGCTAGAGAAGAATACCTCCTTAGGCATGCAAGAATAACACATACACATGCAACAGGAGGAACTTGGTCCCTCTGTTCCAGAGGGCTGCCAGGAAGTCGCCTGACAATACTTCATATTTAATAGAGGACATCAGCAATGTGCCTGCCTCTGACACAGCAGCAGAAGCTAAACGATGCTACCAAAAATACTCAAAACCAGACTTCACGATTAAACAAACCCCAAACCAATAACCATTCCAATATTAGGTTGTCTCTTGAGCTGCAACAGAAGCGGTTGCTTCATACACATATACTAGAAAACCCTCTAGTGAAGGTGTTACAGAATTTCAGAGATGAAGAACTTGATAAAAACTTCTGAGACTTCACTACATCTGCAAGTGAAACCAGAGGTCATACCTTAAAACGTTCAGATCATTTTTCACCAGTATTATAGACTGACCAAAGCTGCAAACCTGAATTATCATGAGTTACTGGCTTTAATTTATGATCGGTCATGTAAAGAATCTGACTATATTACCCTAACTTCTCCTGCCAAACCTTATTAAACTACACCTGGCTGTATTTTCCTTAAGTGATCTACAGCACTGGTACAGACCATCAGTTGCCTGGCCTATATGCAAGGAATTTTAATAAGGATCCAGGTAGAGAGAGAATTCAAGAAAGTTTCATAACCCAGATTCCCCCCTGTGAAGGCGGAGTAACATCTCCTCCTCATCTCCGTAACTGCTTCATTTATTGATGAACAGGGTGCTGTCAGACGTTTCAAGTTCTTGTTTAAGTGACCCAACTCAAACTGCCAAGAGGGAACAGGATCACACAGCTAACAGCGATTGATCCTTCTCCGCAATCGGGCAGCATTAGGTTTCTGCTGCTAAAGCGGTGCTTAGTGCAGCAGATACCAGGGAGGAAGGCACAGGGGGATTCTGGAGTTACTCATTCGTGCCAGAGGTCTGGAAAGAGATTAGTTTAAAGAAATGAGCTATTCTAAGTTTAGGCTGTTGCAGAACAGAACCAAGTTTAAGAACAAACTGGATTTTGTGAGAAAATAAACTACGACGGCCCTCGGCTAACGCGGACTTACTTGTGCTGCTTCATTAGTGTGCACTCTCCTCCTTCCTGGGGGTCCAGGTTGTACATGTAGAGATACCCATCAGCAGCTCCCACCAACAAACGGGGGATCTTCTGGATTCTGGAAAGGTGGAGGGGAGAGCAACAAATTAAGAAGAACTTAAGTTTCACATCAGCACACTCTCCTCCCCTCCCATGATTTTAAGTCATCATTTTCCACACTCTTCCTTCTGACAGGGAACACGGTTAATGAGTAGACAGAGCACCTAGGAAAAATAAGGCATAACCACACTTTGGGGCTAATGGGATGTCACATGAATCAAGCAACTTACATATAACCCAGAACAGATTCAGAATTTATCGTCCTGTTACCAAGCTTTGTGCAGCTCCAGAGACAAATATTCCAAGGGGAAGTATTTTCAGAAACGTTACAAGGCTTAATTGTTGCTTAAAGGGTGCTTTGAGATCCGAGAGGTGACAGTACAGACACGAAGCCAATTTAGCATACAAACTATAAGCCCCCTCCCCTGAATAAGTTTACTACGCTCAGCTCATTCCTTTGGTAGCTGTGCCAGATGGGACCCGTCTCTGGTGAAGACGGAATAAAGATTACATTTAGTCCTCAAAATTAAACTTTAATGAATGCTATGCTGTTTTAGAGAGAAGAGTAACACGAACTTGCATGCAAAGGCCTCATTAATGGTTAGTCTGGATTGCCTCATTTCACAACTCGCTAACACAACATACACTATCACTCCCCCTAGCACTGACAGAGGCAAATGCTGCAAGCCCGGGGGTCTGTTCTCAACACTCTTCTTTCAAAATTAAGACATCTTGAAACAACACTTAGAAATAGCCTATTCTCATCCAAACATCACTCCTTTCCCCCCCTACCCTCAGAGGGCCGCGAGGCGTTAGCTCTAACACGCTGCCCTGCTGCGGACGAGGGGAAGGCAGGCTCCACGCCTCTACTCACGTGGCCAGCGCACAGATGTTTTTGTGCCCACAGAACGGCAGGCGGACTGTAGCAAAGGCTCGACCCTGGTTAAACATTTCTGTTACTTGAGAGGGCAGATAGCTTGTTGAGGCCATCAGCACTTTCCCAAAGTAACCTGTCCAGGTTGTAGGCTCTTCCTGAGGTCTGCAAGTCAGAAAAAAAAACACAAAGTGACCAACCTGGTCTAGTGGAAGGTGTCCCTGACCATGGCAGGAGGGTTGGAACTAGATGGTCTTTACGGTCCCTTCCAACCCAAACCATTCTACGTTACATGTTTGTGAACTCTGCCTTCACATTAGAGAGAAAGGTGTGTAAGCACCTGGACACTTTATTTTTAAAGATATTGGCTATTTGTTTCTCTTCAGAAATAACAAAAGGCCCTTGAGAACTCTGATGCACTCATTTATGGTACAGGGCACAGTGTGTCCTACAATACCCTCAGCCTGTTATTTAAGCAGGTTTGACTGTAAACTGATATTTCTGCTTATAAAACCGCATTTCATAAGGTTCGTTATACAAGAGCAAGATCTACTGGGAAGTGCTACACGTCAAGATTGTATTCACCCGTTTATCACTAAGCAAATCACTGTTTCCAACAACTTCCACAGAAATCTAAGAAAGACTGTCCTCTCACATCATAAAAAGGAACACTTTACAAGTTGGTGCCTTTTAAAGCCCTACGAGCAGCTGGAAGGCACCACTGAGGTAGCTCTTCCCATACGGATGCCAGAAGAGGTGAAGCACAAACGTAAGTGAAAATGCTAAGGTGCTCCACATTCCTCCGCCGAGGACGGCCAGCTTCTCCCTGGCAGAATACCTCTTCTATTCATGGGGAGAACAGTACTCAGCTCAGCTACAGTTGCCGATTCATAAGTGACTTCTTATGCCCTTTACTTTACACAAGTGTTCAACAGATTATGCCTGCACTTTGGAGAACGCGTTCTGTTGAGTATCATCAATTTTAAAGCCTTTTGCTTGAAAAATCTAAGGCAGCTCTGAAACCTACTTTTCTTTCACAGTCTCGAGTTTGAAGATATGCACTGTCTCTGTGTTACTGGATGCAGACAGAAACATGCCATCCATGCTGAAAGCCAGCGAACAGATGCTCACACACCTAAGAAAAAAAGAGAAAGGAAAATGAATGAAGCATTATTTTTAATAGATTTTTTAAGAGGCGAGAGAGCACAATTCTGACAGGATTGATTTGTACAACAGTCAAGTCCAACAGAGTGAAATTGGAAGACACTCAAGCTGAAACCATTATAAGCGTGCAGGCAGGGATGAATGAAGATGAAAACAGGCAAAAATCAGGATGCCAGCTGCTCAGTCGCAGAGCATCCTGAAGCTCTACCATAAGGAATGAATGAGCTTCAGCTAACTAGCCGAGTTGAACTTTACCTCTTCACTCCCCTTCGGAATTCAAAGAGTTTCTGTCCCTCTGGAATGGAAAACACTCTTATTACCGTCCCCTGTAAAGAAAAAAAAAAAAAATTAGAATCGTTTTTCATTTCAGGTTCATTCACTGTGTTAGCTCTAGCCAGCAGAGCACAACTACACGAACAAACCACTTTGCTGTTAGCTTACTGCCGTTGATGCACACCCCGTACGAGCATCAAGTATTTACGGAGCTTGTTCGTAGGATGCGTTTGAAGAGCGGAGAAACAGCAAGAGGTGGGAGCTACTCACGTAGAGAGCAACCGACGCATCACAAACAGCCCTCATCGTCAGATCTGACCATGAAAATGACTGCACTGGACAAGCACAGTCACCTGATGTCTCCGTGCCTTCATCAGATGCTATCAGTTACAGCGTTACAGTCTAAGCTTATTAGCCCAAGAGCAGAGGCTTCAGGCTAATTTATACAATTTAGATGGACAATTTGTCACTGTGTGCCAAAGACTGGCAAGACACTTCTCTCTATTCTGCCTTTAACTGTCTTGTTTTCATTAGGAAGACAGAAACAAGACAGCTAATTTCTACTAAGTATTCTGCACTAAAAGGAGAAGAGAGAACTGCCCTGATCACAGCCAGATTAAGAAGTGTTTATTTGAATAACCCTATTATCCCAACATTTCACAGCATGGAAGTTGTGTCAAAATATCATTACCAATTTTTAGATTTGCCATTGTAATGTAAGCCTTCTTTTTCAGAACTTGTGCATGCTTAAACTTGCTCAATGCTTAGAAACAAGTTTCGTTTTTATCGCTGTCGGGAACTGATGAAAAGCCACCTTACCTTTTCCGATGCAGTGGCAAGTTTAGTACCGCTCGCATCAAACGCCAAAGCAGCCAAGGGACTGTCATGAGCTGGGATCATGTTAGCAGCTCTCTGCAGGAGTGAATCAATACAATACAACTTTAGTACAGGTTACAATCTACATGCCTGCAGCTTAAGACTGCATATTTAAGAGGATTCAAGGCAAATATGGGTTGTATTTTATGGAAAACAGCTTCAACGTTTGTTTCAGTAACTGCCAAGTGAAAGTACCCAGAATTATCACTGAAGCATGTGCATAGAGTACAAGCAATAGGAGGGTTCTTAAGACAACTCAAATCTTAAGTTACTTTACTCCGTTCCACCCATCTGCCCAACCCTACTCATCAAATCTAATATCAGCATCTGTATGTCCTTTGCCGGCATTCTGCGAAGCCCAGCTGTGAGGGTACCGAAAACCGACCCAGAGGCACCTAACTGAGCGTCTGGTAACTCCTGTCTGGGCAAGTTAAGGCATCTTGAGAAGTGGAAACAGCGTTCACGAGGGGCCTTACCAGATTGATGGTGTCAAAGACTTGAACTTCTCCAATAGTCGCGCTGCCTGGGTAGGCCAGGTAGCAGTTATCGTTGTTTATTGATAAAGCACACAACCCTAGGAGGGGTGCAGAAACAGAGTCAGAAAGAGGCCAGTTCCAAGACTTATGCAGCAAAACAGTCTGATTCTGCGTTGGAATATTACAAAGATGGCTCACAAGGATAACTCGAGTTATCAAGAGAACAAGGATGAGTAATCTCAAAGTCAACCTGCAACAGGTTCAACTATTTAACCTAAGTTAAGGCTTAATATAAAGTAGAAAAAGAATACAGATAAAGCTACAATAACTGATTAAGGAGTAGGATTTCCTGTGTCTGCCATGACTCCTAAAGCGTTAACTCGACAAAGCCTTTAACTGTACCAAGTGTTGGCAAAATCCAGTTTGTACGTCTGCTACTTCTTTTGAACATTAACACATCCACTCTAGGAGACTAAAATACCAGGAAGATGCAGTTTAAGGCAGAGTCTACTACTTGTTCTCAAAAACCTCACCTGGACGAAATGGACAGGCTTGTCTCTGTTACTCATGTCGCTGTTACTTTTATGTGAAAGTGGAATTAATGCTACAGTTCCCTGTAGGAAATGTCATATGTTGACACAGAAAACAGTTTTCAGAGTCATGGCAGCTTCTCACAACACACTTACCTGCAGGATTGGGAGGTGTCTCCCTGATTGTATGTAATACCTTCATGTCTCGTATGTTGTGTATGTAAAGAGACTCTTCCAGACATACTATCAGTCTCTAGACATGGGAAAGAGGAGGAAATGCTGATGTCAAACTGGAGTTCATTTTAATTAATCAATCCTAAAAAAAAATTGTATCCAAAATGCAGTAGGTACCTTCCAGCAGAGAAAAGGTTGCACCCCTCTGATGGGAAGAAACAGGAGTCTGACAGAAGAGACACAAGACACCTCTTGACAAGGCTTCAACGGCGCAACACTACACTCGGTCACTTGAGCCAACCAGTGCACTTGACTTCCCTCAACCCCGCTAGTGCCAACTGATTTACATGAAAGTGATTCACATGACCAGTTTAAGGCAGAAACCTTCATTTAAAGCCATTTAAATCTTATCCTGTATATGCCTTTATGTGGTTTGTCCTTGCCAAGAGGCCAAGTCACATGTGGAAATTATTTTCTGGTTTGGCTGAATTGAAAAACACCCATACAATACTTTTTTAACCATTTATAGAGCCCATTACTTACTCAATCATTTGTGAGGGGACTTTTGTCGTCTAAAAGAAACCCCTTTAAGCTCTTCATCTCATTTACACTTTTGTGGACTACATCTGGATGACTAACAAGATGTTACTCATTAAATGATACCTCATTATGCCAGAAGTCAGATTAGCCACCGTTTCTCTTACCATTTTAAACAGGAATACCATCCTCCCACACCTGATTTTAGGAATGGGGACAGACACTAAGAAGATTTTCTCCAACAGATGCCGTTCTCCCTACTTTGAATTAACTGGTTGAAAACCTTATTTGCAGAATAGACTACTAATGATTTAGTAATACACCCAACAGTGGTTCCAGGTACTTAAATTAAACAATTTCACCAGTTCAGTGATTTATTTTTAAAGAGAATGCAGCAAACTGTTTAAAAACACAGTGAGTAGATAACTAAGTTAAGGCCCAAAATTAAATTGTCAGTTTCTCCTATTTCAGCATTTAGGATTATAGGATAGTTCACATTTGGGAGGGACCTGAGAAGGTCTCTAGTCCAACCTCCTACTCAAAGCATGCCCAGCTTACTCAGGGCATTTTCTTAAGTAAATACGTAAACACAGAACCAAAAATACTTAACCAAATATGAGTACTGAGATGCCATACAGAAGGTACAGTGGGAAAAGTGCAAGTTAACTTCAAATAGCAACTCTGTCACCAAAGGAAGAGACATGGATCAGCAGAGGAAGTGCCAGAACAAGATCCCCAACCCCTTCCCTTGTTTTCACCTAGTCAAAATTACTACTCACCTGCCTATTGAGTTTGACAGCCAAGATGGTGTTGGAGTAACTGTAGTTGCAAATCTCCGTCCCCTTCTTAAAGTGACACACTTTCAGCTTGCGCGGAGCTTTAAGGCTAACTATGGCCACCAGGCTACTGGAGAACAGTCTCTCCACAATGCACACGTCTTCCGTGTCAGCTGAGGAATCACAGTCGCGAGGGAAAAATACAGAGGGAGATTTCAGGGAAGAATGACTATGCACATCAACAGGAAATACTGTTTAAGAAAATACAGTCCGACACCACTGACATCCTGCCAGAACAGCTAAGAGTCAAGGTGGAATGCAGGACAGTTTTTCACAGCAGAAAGCCTACCCAGTAAATGCTGATTTTTTTTTTTCCTCCCACCACCCCTTTGGCCAACCCAGGTGTCAGGCAAGTTTATGCTTCAGAACAGCGTCTACTCGCCCCTGCCCAAGATTATAGTACAGTATTGCACCAAGCTGGTAGGAGTCCAAGTCCCATCACCATTCACCCCAACACGTGTGCTTCCCCCTCCCAGCCCCTGAAGCTCCGAAAGCCCCAGAGCCATAGCAGACAGTTCTCACAGCAGGAAAAAGCTGGATAGCTTTACCCCTCCCCAGCTACACGTGCACTTCCACCGCAGAACTCAACCAAGACAAGCAACTCCAGCCTTTAGCCCTGATCCATCAAAACAACCAAGTTTTTCAAAGTCAGTATCTGGATCAGCTCAATGCTGAACACATTCCAAACTGTAAAACTGCCTGTAAAAGCAAAATAGGCGCTTATTTCTAAAGGCTTCTGTTTTGGCCAAGAGACACATTAAATAATTGGCAACGTTCTCATCACCAGTGACAGAAATTCCCCAAAAAATGTTCTGTCCACAATTTCCAGCATATGACAATGTCATCACTGTGTGCCATGTCTGCTTCGAAAGTGCTCTTTCTGGGCAGTTATTTCAAGAAGAACAGAAAATATTTAATGTTCTACATCCTTGACAGAGAAATAGCCTCCTTAAGGAAAAGGAGCAGGTTTATGATGTTGCCTGTGCAACATCACTGACTTTTATCTAAATCTCATATTTAATATGAGAAGACAAAACAGCTCACAGAGGCTTTGAAAATTCAATTTCCTCACTTTTGCAACAGGGATGAAGCATTTAAGCAATGACTGTGTTTTCAAGGAACTCTTCTCTGTTTTCCTGATGGCACACACAACACAATACAAATATGTATTATTGCTTCAATAAATTTATGTATAGAATTCCACATGCAAAGGTCCATGTTCCTTGAATCAGACTAGTGACATAAAAGCTTCTCAAATATTTTACAGGTTGTCAGCTTTCCATCCAAGCCTGGAGTCCTTGATAATGCCGGCATCCTTTCACTAGAGTCGAACACCAGCACAGAGGCCCTGCTCCCGGGTGAGCACGCTTCTCCTCATTCAGGGGCAACTGTGTAAGACACAGCTCCTGGGGTCTGTTACTGGGGTCTGCTCCCCGGGCAGGCAGGAGAACTGGCATCTCAGAGGAGGAACAGCAGCAGAGAGTCAGATGGAAGAAGTGCTGTCCTGTGCTGCGCTGATGGAAGTGCAAGCAGCAGGGACGGGCACTATCAACAGTTAAGCAGGCAGAGACAGATGAAAACAGCTTTCAACAAGGAAAACACTTAAAAGGTACAGAAAATCCTTCCGTCTCACCATAAAAAGATTTACTGTAATACAGTTACCTTTAGAGAAAGGGTTTGTGATGGGCTTTTAATTAAATTCACTTGAAAAATACAGCATGCACCTCTGTTCCTTTGTCTTCCCCTAACAGGAAGGGGTGATAATCCCTTCGCAGCTGCCAAGCCAGGTACGGTCCCCAAGGTGAGTACCAGGCTATACTGCACATCCTACATCCAGCTGACCCACGTTAATCCTATGCTCACAAGCACTAGTTAAGTCCTACAGCACTGCTGTTAATCAAGGGGTTTTTTTCTGTCTGTATTTTCTCCCTGATGTTTCACAAGTGAGCATTACCAGGAACTCGGATTCAAAACGCAGTAAGAACAAAAAGAACTGCAAAGTGATTTAAGTACCAGCAGCAGGGGGGACAACAAGCAAATGCATAACAAGATTACAGTTTCATAAACACAAGCATGTAGCATCACAGATGAGAGCTGGTTAGAACCAGCTAGATTATGATCAATCGTGCTTCTATTCCACTTTTAATCCAAGAACATGAAGCAGGTTATAAGCATTCATTAAGCCTTAAAGCACCCTCCAACCTAATACTTATTTTTACAGGGGGAGCAACCCCTGTAAAGGGGGGTTTGGCAATTTGCACAGTCACAGGAGGAGTCAGTGATGGGAACAAAGAAACCTCCCATCCTTTTCAGTCATCCTCCCAAACACGAGACAGCTGGGGCACATCCTGTAGTTCAGTGAAGACACCTACACAAGAGCTGGCAGATCAATCTTACACAAGTGAGGGGGGGCCTTAAAAGTGCTCACTCAAAAAAAAGTCTTTACACTAAATTGGGAGGCAGGAGGCACATGTCGGAGAGGCCTCAGGATACTTTTCCTGGTGGAAAGGAAGTAGCCAATACATAGGAAGCACACCACCCCCCCAAGTTTTAAATGGGCATGGTCTGCAAGCTCAAGAGTGAATGGTTTAACTGCATACAAAAAAAATAAAGATCTCAAATATTTGGGTCTGCTGCAGACACTGAGCGCCCGACGAGCAGAGGTCAAGGCAGGCTGGCTTACACAGGTCAAACCATCAACTCTTCTACCAAACATTACCTAACATTCTGTGCTCTGTACCTATGAACTTAACACTCATGGAAGAAAACTTACAATATCAAAGAAGTTAAGCCCATATAGGCATCCCACAACAGTTTGAAGACAAGACTGGAATCAGCAGGTCTAAATTCTAATCCCAGCTTGCTTTATCAGTTTATTGCAAGACTTGGAGCAAGGCACTTTATCCAACCAGTACATTTTTTTTTTTCCCCTGAATACTACCTAGAAGCAGCAGCCCTGCAAAGCTCAGTTAGTATTTCCCAGTGTGTTCGTTCAGTGTCTTGTGTAACAGGAGTCACCTTCACCGAGTCTCCTGGGGTGGTATCAGGCCAGATATCTAAGTGCCTAACATACTACAGAGGTCAGGTACCTAAACTCAACAGCATAACATGGAATTCAAGCCACCCATTAACCAGTACAACCAGACCATGACTCAAACAGGCAGGTGTAGCCACAGCACAATTTAACTTGACCACAGGTGCTTAATTTGAACCTCACCATTCCTTCTCTCCGTTGACTGTACACAGAATCAGGCTGTCACCAAGGATAAAAGGTGATCTGAATCACACACCATCTTCAGACCTGAGATGCCACAGGGAATGAGTCTGAAGAGAACTCTGTTGTGCAGCATGACACATCAGGATCCCACCGCAAATGCTGACATCAGAGCTATTGGTATCGTTTCCCATGGAGTTCGTAAGAAAGCAAGGACACGCATAGCATTCATAGTTTACTTATGAGCACCTCAAAAAAGGGAAGTTTACAAACTGCTGGCAAAACATGGGATAGCACTTCCTTCTGGAGCCTCCCTCCATTTCATCTCATATCCTACGCAACTGTGATCAGCATTGAGAAGGCTGGATAAGGCTGGGAGCAACCTGGTCTAGTGGAAGGTGTCCCTGCCCATGGCAGGGGGGTTGGAACTAGATGGTCATTAAGGTATTTTCCAACCCAAACCAGTCTCTGATTCTGTAAGTTAAGGGAATTTGGGTTAATCATCCTTTTGAATGAGTAAACCTGCTGCTATCATGTTAAAAAAGTATTTTTCTAACAGCAAATTAGATAACATTAAGGTAACATGAAGAAAAAGATAATCAAAGCTTTGGGTTTTTATCGGATAACAGTTTATTAGTGGTTGCCTGCCCCAGTAGCCAGTATAAAGACTCAAAAGACACTCTCTCACACCAGTAAACTATTTTTTTAATGCCCAGCTGCTACATAACCTAGTTACTGGATATAAAATTAGAAAAGCAAAGAGTTCTTCTCATAGCCATTACCATTTCACAACATACCAGCTAAATTTAAATACAGACACCAACATATAGTTTTACCCTGCCAGCAGTCAACTGTTTTGTATTTCTGTGATATTTCATCACACACTTAAGGTTCCTCCCACATCAATTTCATACCAGCTGTGAAAAAGTGCAACACCTCTTGCTCCTCCCAAATTAAGGCAATTGAAGGGATTAAAAAAAAAAAACAACAAACAAAAAACCCAAGGAAGATACTCACTGCATTCATAGATCTGCTCTAATTTGTCCACAGAAGAGAGAGAGAAGAATTTGTAGCCTGATTTACTGCCAACTGCAAGGGATCTGAAAAAGAAACAAGCCAGTCAGGAACATAAACTAGATCAGCTGTGAGTTATCCGTGGACAGGTTCTTTCCCAATTCCAAAACTCCAGTTGGGTTAGCTCAGCAAGAAAAGCAATGAAGAGCTTGACCGAAAAAGCCACAACAGACACAGCCAGCTTCCTCGATCTGGGAAAGGCCAAGGAGCTTCAGAATTAGCCCAGGTTGGAATCCTGCTTCACATCGTAATGTAAGCCTACCGCCCAGTTCAGGCTGGTGGTGTCCCCAAACAAACCCAAAGCTTTAGTGTGAAGCAAAGACGATGACTTGAACAATGTAACACAAACCAATTACATCACTGCCTCATTATTAGAGGTGACCTCTGAGACCTCTGAAACTGGGACTGTCTGGGGATGTTTTGCTCTTTATGCTGTAACCTTCCCCAACCACCCCAAAAGAGCTCTCGTATTAAAAAAAAAAAGTAATTAAAGCCTGCCAACTCTAATTTTCTCTGGTTTTATTTGATGATATTCTAGCACCTCCAAAGGACACAGTTAGGTCTCAGTCTTACAAACACGCCGAATCTTCTGACTGGAGGCACCCTCTTAAAAATGCTAGTCACTGATGTTAAACAGATTTTAACAATAGTAGAACATTAGAAAACTGACTACAAACCCCCCTGTCCTTCATTACTCAATTTTCACACTTAGCTCACAGACCATTTAATTGCTTTTCCACTCAGAGTCAAAGACATGTCTTAAATTTTAAGCCAGAAAAACCTTTAGGCTTGTCTTGCAGGTCTTTACACATCAAGGCAGCAGGCAACGTCACATTCTTATTTTCCCCTCCTCATGCGGAGGATGATTTTACGCCACAGAAAAAGAAAATTCACAGTAAATACAGTCGTGCAGAAGTGTGTTAGCATGCCTACAGCTCACGTATTTCTTACTGCCAGGACACAATGAGAAAAACTAATTAAACCCCACTAAAAGACATTCTAATATGTCAAACTGCGGCGAGTCGTTCAATACGAGGCTCAAACCCAATCCTGCCAGTCAGCCTGCCAAAAATGCCCTTCTGAGCTCAGCAAGATGATTCTCTAATTCAGATGCAATAACGATTATTTCTGCATTTAGAATACAATTCCTACATTCCCTGCTCTTTCTGTCTCTTCCTCTTATGGCCCCGACGCGAGCCCTTTTTAAACGTCAAGGTACCCAGAAGATTGTGTTCCTCAAACATCTTGCCCTCTGAAATTAAGATCCCAAGCTATAATATCAACTTCTGTATCACAGTATGACCTTCTCTTCTAGGAAAAGAAAAAAAATACAACTGGCACAGGCTGGTTAGGAAATTGTATTTGAGAAGGTTTAAGCCTTAAAATTAAAATATGCGCCATCCGAGCAAGAGAATTAAGCCTTCCCAGATTCAATAACCAAGATATGCTTTTTTTAATATTAGGCATAGAGACAGAGAAGCAACTGTAAAACAAAAATTTGTCGCTGCTCCTCTAAGTCACCTTAGAAACACCGAATTTAATTTTACTTCAGACAAAATCAGTATGTTCAGCAGACTGTATCTGATTAGGTGCCCAAGATGCTTCAGTGTTTCTCCTCAACTACTTCTGCACAACTCCATGCAAATCCAAATTCTATGAAAAAACATGAAACTGTAATTTAAAATAATGAGTTAGCTTTTCTTAGATCATCTACTGCTTCCCTCAAAAGAAAGTTTAAACAAAAATGGCACTAAAACTGTCACTTCACAAAGGTAAACAGGCACCCAACTGAGTTAAAAATAGATGGAGTCACAAGACTCCTTGCCATACGAAGGATCGACAGAAGACACAGGATGATTTTCTCAGAATTCCACATAGCAGCCATTCGTGAGTGTATCACTAGGCAAAATTGATTCCTGTCTGGTACGTACAGCTTTAAATACAGAATATTGCTGTATCACTGTTTGACTGACAGCATCACCAGAGCCAGGAAGCAGGACCATTTTTCTCATCCTACCAACTACCCTCATCTCATTTAATTAAGCTTTAGACAATGGTGAAAGCGAGCTGTACACATGATAAAATCATGAGAGTGAGTAGAAGCCAGAACGAAGCAGCAACAAAACGGACCTTTCCATCCATGGCAACTGCTTTTTGTTATTTCTTTCAGGATCAAGATGATGAAGTCACAAGTCATTTGTTTACACAGAACAGCTCAAGTCAGTATAATTAAACCCATTTCAGTACACGAGCATAACTGCCAAACAACCCATTTTTCTTCTAAAACAGCATTCTTGAGTTTGGAGGGTTTTGGTTTGTTTTGGTTTTTTTAATGTACTCTCAAATTACTTCTTATGAAACTACTGGAAAAAGGCTTTTCATATGTAATAAGAGAACTCACTAGGCTGAGTTATACCAGCATAATCGTAATGATGTAAATCCCTCATCTTCCCCGCACCGATATTACACTTAAGCCCTTAAGACACCTGATAGCTATCAAAAATGACCAAATCCCACACACCAAGTATCTAGCCAAAACTACCTCACCTCCCCAAAAATGTGCAACCATATGGGGAAGAAATATGATCAATAAGCCACTCAACTATTGCTCAGACAGTGGCCAACAAGAAGCTACTGTAGTTTATCAGAAGCTCGTTGTACAACATGCGTGTTATGCTTTATTATCACCAATTTTCAGAAACTGATGAGGGTGAAATTGAAAATAAAATCAATATCAAAAAAAATGGCCTTTTTTCCTTTTAACATTATGCTACACACAGGTGTTTTTTTAACTCTATTATGTGTAGCCTCTATTACACACCTCAGAGCGTAGACTTTGAGCTACTTCATCATCAAGGTTGTCTCCTCAGCACAAAATTACCAACATAGCCATGATTTATGAAACTGTGTTTACCTCTTTTTTTCCCCAAAGATAATACTGTAGTCTGATCCAAGACTACATAAATCTTGAGAGTATTTTCAAGAGCAGCTGTCATAAATAATTAAAAACTAACCTCATCAAGCAAACAGTATTATGAGATATTTCACACGCTCGTTTCAAGATGCTGACATTCAGTGTAAGTGCACTCGCCTGGAGTGGGAAATCAGTTGATTCAATCTCTCTGGCTCCTGAGAAACAAGGTTTTTTTCTGATGGGTTAGAATCATACCAGTTTTCTTTTGCTTCTTTAATACACACACCAGAAGGAAGAAAACCAGTTTTTCCCTTTAGCGTATCATAGAGAACCTTAACTACTAACCAGAAATATTCTGCATTAATCAGACAACCCTGCTAAGGGCAGCTCTCCCAGATTAAAATCAATTGCAGCTGCAATATAGACACCACTCCTGAAGTCATTACTATTTAAAACAACTGGCTAATTAAACCTACTTTCATTAGGATACAGTCTCGTTATACTAATGCTCCACCTCACTTCAGACCCAATGTATATTTCCAAAGACAGAATGTTTTGTGAACAAAGGCTTGTGATGAAGAGGAGGAAAGTAATCATAATAAAAGAAAAAAAATAGTCAATGAAATGCAAAAGAAGGAGATTTTCCCCATTGTTCTTGTATTAAAACAACAAAACTTAAAACTGCTACAGCAAGAGGAGACCACGCTTGCTCATCACTTAACACACAGCAATGGTCTGGGACAGCAGAAAGGTCATAATCCAAGTAAACATCACCGCCTCCACCGCAACAGCGGCGAGCAACACCACCACCGACTGCTTCTCCCAGCTAGCTTCCCTGAGCTCGACAGCTGTGGTTTTGCCTTAAAGCCTCCTTGGAACAAAGCGCTCTCCTGTCCCCAAGGATCACGGGTGAAGGACACCTGAACCTAGGAGAAACAAAGGCAGAGGGGCGAATGCTCAGTGCCTAACCCTTGTTCCTCTTGCCACACGCAGTTTACTAGAGACCCACGCATCCCACGGCGAAGGAATCATAATGCAGCTCCTGCAAAATGAAGCGTGCCATGCACCTTCAGAGCTATAACTGGCTCAGAACTTAGAAGCAAACAGATTTATTTGAGCCCAAAAGGGCAGAGTTGAATCCGAAAGCACAGATACACGGACAGACACCTGTCACACGTAACTCCATACATCAACGGAAGCGGAGACTGAAGACGACCTTGCACGTAAGGCACGCACCAGTGTTTTCATCAGCAATCCAGATGCAAGGCTTCCTTTCGCCCTTGCATTGGGAGTCTGTTTTCACAACAGCAGCGACTGTTTTGCTTCCAAGTGCTCTCACTCGATTACTTATTTTTAAAAAGACAACCAAGACCTCCCTGCCGTCCGTCAACTTCCATTATTTCACAAGTAGGTCCTTCGGGGGTGGTGGCTGTGTTTTTGTAAATTGAATCTGATGACTGTAGAAGTTAATTCTGAAGTTCTTCCAAAGGCATTTCTCTGGGGATACTTGTGTAACAATTTAAAGACTTGAAGATTTACCTATTTTATAGATATGTATATAAACTTCGAGATCTTGAAGTTAGTTACATTTTGGGGAGAAAGTTAGACACAAAAGTGTACGCCTTTCCCTCATGGGTTTTAAAGCTTGTACGAGTTTTATTTTTCATAAACGTATCCATGCCCAGTTTTAGCAGTTCTCCCAAAAGTAACTAGAAACAGCACTCGAGTTTAAGTGGTACTCCTTACCAAATATACATGGTTAAAAGATTTCTAATTACTACAAACATATCTAGCACTGAAGTCACCTACAGGTTTCTACTGCATGGTTTTGGTAGGATACCCGAACTCTGAGTGGTTGCTTCAGTGTTATCTGTGAGCTGAAGCTTCTGCCTCCCCGTCAGAGAATGCCAGTCCCGCCAAACCGTGCGATGGATTCACCAGGGAAAAGGGCTAGGTCCAAAACAGGCATGCTGACATCTTCTGAAAATGACCTCCTCCATGTTTGTAACTTAATGAAAACACACGATATCAAAGAGAACCCACAAGCCAACCGCTTCTGCTGCATTACAGGCATGCTAACATCTTCTGAAAATGACCTCCTCCTTGTAACTT